AAAAAAAAAAAAAGTAAATACCCAAAATTTAAAAAAGAAAAAAAATCAAAAGAAAAAAAGTCATTCCAATGAAGTCCCTGGGACTTTACTGGTGGGGTTTGGTTTTACTTTCTTTTTTGGATTCTGTTCTTGGCTATTCCATGTCTCTGTATGCTCAGCAAGATTTTTCTAACCCATGTTCCACAAAATATTTTTTTAATCTACTTTTTATTCTTAAACTAACAAATGGACTCTTATGTGTAGGGGTTGCTCTTTTTTTTATAAAGTATTTAAATTGTTTTAATGTTTATTTTTGAGAGGGAGACAGAGTGTGAGCAGGGGAAGGGCAGTGAGAGAGGGAGACACAGAATCTAAAGCAGGCTCCAGGCTCCGAGCTGTCAGCACAGGACCTGACGTGGGACTTGAACTCATGAACTGTGAGATCATGACCTGAGCTGAAGTCTCAGATGCTTAGCTTACCAAGCCACCCAGACGCCCCTTGTAGGGGTTGCTTTTTAAAAATATTGTATGCCACCTTTTCACATTTTAAATAAATTTTATGATAATTGTAGGAAAAGTGAAGTAGACAGATGAGCAAGGAGAAAAAAACTTGCCTACAATTAAGCCTCCCAGAGAAAATGATATGGCTTCTCTAATTCCCATATTTTAGTAACTACATGTATTTATTTTTAAATTTTTTATTTATTTTTGAGAGAGAGCACAAGTGGGGGAAGGGCAGAGAGAGAGGGAGACACAAAATCTGAAGCAGGCTCCAGGCTCTGAGCTGTCAGCACAGAGCCTGACGTGGGGCTTGAACCCAAGAACCGTGAGATCATGACCTGAGTTGAAGTCGGGCACTTAACTGAGCCACCCAGGCGCCCTGTAACTACATTTAAATATATGTATTTCTTTTACATCTTTATTTTAGAGTAAGAGAGAGTGCAAGCAGGGGAGAGGGGCAGAGGGAGAAGGAGGGAGAGAGAGAGAGAGAGAGAGAGAGAGAATCTTAAGCAGACTTCATGCTCAGTTCAGGCTCGACCCTGGGATCACGGCCTGAGCTGAAATCAAGAGTCGGACACTCAACCAACTGAGCCCCCCAGGTGCTCCTAAATATATGTATTTTAAACAAAAATCATATTCTACTCTATTTACTATGTATCTTTAAACTGTTTTTAAACTTTAATCTTCTCATCTTTAAAATTTGCCGCTGTTAACATGGAGCCACATTACACCCTACATTTGGACTGTTCCTTGATTGAATGCATGCTGCATGCACAGTGTAGAAAAATTAGACAGTGAAGACATTTCTTAAAAGGAAAAGACAAGAAAGGAAGACCCGATGATTCCAGCGATGACTCCTGGTAATATTTTGGTATACCTTCTTGCAGATCCATTCCCGGTGCCTCTTTATGGTAAATTAGTAAAGACGGGTACATTATCTATTACTCAAGGACAATGTATTTTGGGGGGGGGCCTGGCTGAGGGCCGGGTGGGGGTGTCACAAGAGTGTGGCCGAGGGCTGAAGCAGGGGCTGAAACCCTAGCTTGGTCTGCTGACCAAGCTGGTGGCATCTGCCTCAGGCAGGGGGACTATTGTTCTTCATTTGCATAAAGCCTCATATTGGTGGGGGGTCCGGTTCCAGTCCCCCCGTGCCACTGCGAGATGTCTGTTACTCACTTCCCAGCAGCAGCTGCAATGGGGAAAGGCTTGCACACCTCACGTGCAGGACACGAAAGCCCAGCTGGACCAGGGGTACGCAGACTCCACTGGGTGGGATGCTAGGTCATGGGTTTTGATTTTCAGCATCCAGTAAGTCCTCAGAAAGCATGGGTTACATGAATTAATCAGTGAGCATGCAGCCTTGGGGAATGAACAGTGAACATGTATTCTCAGAGCCTCAATTTTCCTGTTGTCAAAATGGGAATAACGAGACCCACCTTATAGGTTAACATTGGTGGAGGGCCAGGTGCATTAAAACATCTACAGCACCTGAAAATGTACCTGGCGCATGGTGGGAGCATGGTAAATAATAGCCATCGTCATTGGTAATGAATGCACCATGTTTGATTAATTCTTAGTTATTCAGTACATTGAGAAATACCTCAGGGTGCTTGGGTGGCTCAGTCAGTTGAGCGCCTGACTTTGGCTCAGGTTATGATCTTGTGGTTCATGAGTTCGAGTCCCGCGTTGGGCCCTGTGCTGATAGCTTGGAGCCTGGAGCCTGCTTCAGATTCTGTGTCTCCCTCCCTCTCTGCCCCTCCCCTGCTCCTTCGCTCTCTCAAAAATAAATAAAAATATTAAAAAAGAGAGAAGAAAAATACTTAGAGGCTGAATGTGCACCAGAGTGCTGTGCTGAGCTCTGAGTACGCAAAGGGAAGCAAGGCAGATCCCTGACCCTGTCCTCTGGGGGCTCCTGGTCCAGTTGAGGAGACAGACCAGTCCCTTGACAGTGACAGTGGAGAGTGAGCAGGGGAGTGGGCAGGGGCCATCCAGCAGAGGTACGTGACCCAGCCTGGGGGGTCCAGGAAAGGCTTTCTGAAAAAGAAGACCTGGAAGATGAGTATGAAAGAACCGGGCGAAAAGGTTAGGGGTAATGATATTATGAATGGAGACAGCAACTTGTGAAAAGGTCCAGGGGCAAGACAGAGAATGGAAATCACCGAGAAATGGGAGCAGGGCTGAACAGGGTGAAAGATGAATCTGGAGTCACATCATGCAGTGCCTTGCGGATGGCTAGTTCTTGACCCGTAAGGACCCTTGAGGGCTGTGGGAAGGTCTTAGGCAGAGGCGTGACATGGGAAGACTTGCATTTAAATATTTGCCTTTAAATATTCTTCAGCCTGTCAAGCTGAGGGAGGGGCAGAAGGAGAGAGAGAGAGAGAGGGAGAGAGAGAGAGAATCTCAAGCAGGCTCCATGCTCAGTGCCGAGCCCAGTGCGGGGCTTGATCCCACGACCCTGAGATCATGACCTGAGCTGAAATCAAGAGTCGGATGCTCAACCGACTGAGCCCCCTGGGTGCCCCGTTCATGTCCTGCTCATTGTCTACCTCCTTCTGCCCCTCCCCATCCTTGCATGAAAGGTGATTTCTTTGAGAACAGAGATCTCTATTTGTTTCATTTGCTGGTGTGCTCTAAGCACCTAGAAGAGTGCCTGGCACATAATAGGGCAAAATAAACCTTTGCTGAGTGAAGGTGGGGGCCAGCCAGGGAGAGGCAGTCTGGGTTGGGAGGTCAGTTGAGGCCATGCTTCAGAAGACGCAGCGTGGGGCCAACCTGCATGAGTCGGACAGGTGAGAGTGTGGGGGCAGGGAGGCCCCGGGTTCATGTGCACCTGTCAGAGACAAAGTAGAAGTTGTGTTACAGGGTGGGGCCCAGGAAGTTCCTCTCTCTCGTTAGGGCAGGAAAACACAGAACCTGCCATAGGGAAGGCGGGTAGGGGATATTGGGAGAGAAAAACCTAGCCCTGTATGAAGGGATGGATTAGGGAAGTTGACTCCAGTGAGGCTCTGTGCTCTTGGTTGGGGCAGAGGGGAGGGAACGGAGAGGGCCTCAGGACGGGGTGGCGTGGAGGGGCACTGCACAGAGGGATCTGGAGGGAAGGCCGGCTGAGGAGGGGATTGCAAGTCAGAAGGACAGGATGGATAGATGGAGGCCTTGAATGCCAACTCCTGGGCACCCGGTGCGCTCAGCACAGGGAGCCACAGACACCGGGTGGGGTGATGTGGCCACAGGAGTTGGCTGATCTGGGTGTGCAGAGCAGATGGTGCTGGAGGTGGCCAGAAGCCACATGAGGACCTTGGAAGTCAGGACAAACGGAGGTGACTTTAGGCAAGTCACCTCCCCTCCGTGAGCTTCGGTGTCCTGAACTACAAGGTGGGACAGTGACATCCCCTAACCTCCTTGACTTTCTGTTTTTCCATCGACTCGATCACTTCCTGATATTCAGCGTAACTTCCCTACTTACTAGGTTTGTTGAGTCTCTCTCTGCACCCTGCATTTTGTCTCCAGCACCTGAAGCGAGCCTAGGACGTGGGTGCTGAGACTGAGTGGGAGTGCAGTCCCACAGACGGACTGCTGTGCCAGGCTTAGTCTGTGCCAGTCTCTGCGGTGAGCACTTTCCCAGCCTGAGTCATGGCTCATCTCTGTCTGCAGTGGGGTCCTGAGGCTCCCAGAGGTGACCTAACTCCCACCAAGCTGCACCTGGGGTGTGCTGAGCTGACACCAGCCTCCCCCACCCCATCTTATAGCTGAGGAAGACAGTCACGAGGCAGGGGGATTGACATGTTCAGGGCTGAACATTTGGCAGATGGAGGGGCCGAGCCCCCGTGCTTTGGCTCCAGAGCCAGATTGCTAAGCGTTCTGATCCCCTGGAGTAGATACTTGGTGACTAGCTGTGGCACGACTGAGACCCAAATGGGCTGCAGGCTGAGGTAGCTGGGTGCCTGAGCTCTTCCCGTGATGCCCAGGTGCCTCTCATGCCCTAAGTAATGGCTTTAGAGTTTTCTTAACCACCACTTACACCACCCACCCTCTCATTGCCTCTATTCTAGGGCCACCTAAACTTTGCCTCAAACTCAGCACACTCCCACATGCTGCCCCTCCGGCTGCCGGACTCTCCCCTGACCCACCCCTGCGCCTTCCAGGTCTCAGGTTTGACATCCTCTCTTCCAGAAGGCCCTCCCTGACCTTCAGACTGGGTCACGTGCCTCTTCTGGGCTCCCCCAGCCCTGCCCGTGCCGGGTTGGCACAGATGGGGGACAAGCCTATCTATCCTGGCAGACTGTGAGCTCATGTGCGCAGGGCTGGGGATGTCTAGGTCTCTGCTGTGTCCCCAACACTACTAAGCACAGGGATCCTCACAGAAGAGGAGTTCAGGGAATATTTGTTAACGAATAAGGAAGTGAATGAATGAATGAATGAAATACATGAATTAATGGCCATGAATGGTTCTTCCCTAACCTAGTTGATCACATTAAATCTTCTTGGTCTGTGTGCTCCCAAAGACCAACAGCTTAGCTGGTCCACAGGGAAATTAAAAAAAAAAAAAGTAACTCACCTATATCGAACCTTTGCTGCGACCCCAGTTCTCAGCTCAGGTGTCTCCTCCTCCAGGAAGCCCTCCTTGCCCCCTCCCCCCAGGCTGGGTCAGACACCCCCTGGGGCTCCCCCAACCCAGTTCACTCTGTGCTTCCAACATTTTATTTATGACCGGTATCATTTCAGCTCAATTAATATTTCCAGGCTGCGCATGGGGAGCTGGGCACTGAGTCTGATTCTGTCAAGCTATTAACCCAAAGCCACCATGATTGTTTTTGTTATCATTGCTATTGACTATTATTATCTTGGCTCCTGTTTCCCCTAACTCTAACATTCCCTAATTGTCCCTCCCTGGTTCCCCTTCTCCCTGGATTGCTTCCTCATCCTGGCAAAGAGGCGGGGAGGGGGGTGTAGGAATGGAGACACAATTCTCAAAGGGCCCAGGGCCAAAGGGTAGAGATTTCTTCCTCTTTTTCCACCTTGAGAGAAACCCCAGCATTCCTGGGGTTCTTGTTTTCTGGGGTGTGCAGAGGAAGGAAAGGGAGCCCTGGGGTGGAGACTGGAGGTGGGTCCAAAGTTCCTTCCTGCTCCTGTCTGTCCTAGGAGCCACTGTCATCGTCACGGTGCCTGTGAGTCCGCAGCAGGGCAGAGGGGAGGGAGGACGTGCTGGAGGGGGCAGCTGGAGTGAAGTCTGAGTGTGCAAGCTGGGGCGTGCTGATCAGCTGTCAGAACCCATGGCTCTCGCTGACCTGTGGGACCACCAGTGGGCAGGAATCCTGCTTGTAGGTGAGTGTACTGTTCCATTCAGATGGAGGTGGGGATAGTGTGTGTGTGTGTGTGTGTGTGTACAAAAAAGACACAGAGAGAAATAGACATACAGAAATAAAGACAAATACAAAAGAGATGGACAAAGGTAGAGAGAGACCAGAGATAATGACCTACATACGGAAAGAGATGGTGTCAGACCCACAGAAGCAGAGACCCAGAGAGAAAGAGAGGGACAGAGAGGCAGAGAGTGAAAATAACCGTAGAAACTGTAGCAGAGGGAAAAACAGGGAGGGACAGAAAGGAGAGAGGGAGACAGAGGACAAAGAGACGGGAAGAAAAGTACACAAACACAGAGAAATAGATTCGGGGAGTCATGGGGAGAGAGAGACCAACCCAGCGAGAGAGGTAGGGAAAGAGCTGGAACATAACAGACCGAAGACAGACAGAGGGGCCAAGTCACACCTCAATCAGGACAGGGGACGGCTATGAAATCTATGCTTAAAGGGTCCCTGAGGCAAAAGGAAGAAACTAGAATATTTTGGTAAGCATTTTGAAGGCAAAGAAATGACTTTCAGTGTGTGGTGTGCAAAACTCAGCCCTGCTTTGCTGTGTGGCCCTGAGACCAGCTCCTCCCTCTGGCGGACCCTCAGGCTGTGGGGGCTCTGGGCTCCCATGAGGGGCTGAGACTTATCAGCTTCTCTCTGCAGAGTTTGCCCCCCCTCCCCCCGTGCACAGAAGGCAAGACCCTGTGAGGAGGAGGCGAGGGGAGGGAAGGGGCCAGGCAAAGGCTGTCTGCAGCGGGGGGGGGGGGGGGGCTATCTCAAATGGGTATGTTGAGGCCCGCCGTTGGTGCTTTCATTCTCAATAATTCTTTTATGACAGTTATACAAAATGGGAACTATTATTACTCCATTTTGCAGATGGGGAAACTGAGACTCTGACAGAGGACATCACTTGCCAAACAGAAAATGGCAAAGCTGGGATTCAGAGGAAGGCAGTCAGGCTCTGAGTCTGTGGGCTTAACCTCCACAGGAGTATCACAGGCAGAAAATACAAACGTAGGAAATAATAATAATAGCCACTGAACACTTACTGTGAACTGTTTTAAGCACATGACACCTGATATCTCATCGAACCTCACGACAACCCCATATGGATTAGGTTCTCTTCTCCCCATTTTGCTATTGAAGAAACAGGCTCACAGAGAGCCCGTTGCCCATGATGATAGAGCCAGGAAGCATCAGAATCCATATTTGCTTCCAGATATCCTAAGAGCTCGTGCCCTTAACCACTGACTGAGCAGGGAATGGGGCAGTGCTTGAGCCGGACTGAGGTCCAAGGAGGGCTGGAGAGAAACATGGCTGCCGGCCTCTGTTAATCAGGCAGATGAGAGGGGTGGGGGGTGGGATGTCAGGGTCGGCTGCACCTACGCATGACTGCTGCGGCTGGGGTGGGGGTCCCCACCCATCCCCACAGTCTCTTCAAGCCTCCAGGAAACTGTGTGTCGAATGGCCATGTGGAAATGCAACAGCTCCTGGTATCTTGTTCCCCCCGCCCCCCCCGCAAGGAAACCTCTCCCTGAGGGCAAGTCCACGGAAGTCCCAGAGGTTAATTTCCCCCACCAAAGATAATTGAAGTTCTGGTGTATCCGGTATATCTGGTGTACCAGGGGTGTATCCGGTGCCCATCCCTGGGCTGATGGGAATTATATGGTGTTGGGAACACAGTCCGTAGGGGCTGGTGGGTTAGGTTCAAGCTTGTCTGCTGCCACTTACTATAATGGTCTTGGAAAGTGACTCCAATTCTCTGTGCATCTCTTTCCTTCTGTGTGGAATGAGGAGGGTGATCGTGTATCTCTGTCAGGATGAGCATCATTGGAAGGAGCACAGTGACCCCTCAGGGGGCTGACCTAAAGGTTACCAGCATTCATTACCACTGCACAATAACCCTAGGATGCAGGTGATAGTATGCCCATTGTACAGCTGGACAAATTGAGTCTCCAGGAGATTCAAAACATGCCACAAGTCACATGGTCAATAAGTAGTGGGTAGGAGTCAAGCCTCTAGGGATGAAGTGTCATGTCCATGACCTGACCTCCCTCTGTTTACGAAGACCATAATGGATACTCCCAACACACCTCTCCCTCCCTGAATGCCTCTTCTCTCTTTCCCACCAGCTTCGCTTTTGACCACATGGAGTCTTCCAGCCACAGCCCAGCTCACCGTTGATGCCAACCCACTTACTACCACCCAAAGTGAGAAAGATGTTGTTCTGTCTATGTTTGGGACCCCCGGCTACCCCAGACCCATGGCAGATTCAGAGATGTGAGACACAGAAAACAAGGCCATCGTTCTGATCTCTGCCTTCATCCCTAAAGCACCCATCAGGATTCCATGTCCAAAGTCCCAGTAGAAGAAATCTGGTTGGCCAGCCAGGGTCTGGCAACAACCTGTCAGATCAGTTGATTTGGAGGATGGGGTAAAGGGGTGGATTGTAGCTGTCATCGTTGGGGGTGGGAAAGGTTGGCTAAGAAGTGGGTAGTGGGATCCGGCTGGCCTCCCTGTTACAAGCATGATTCTCCTTAAAGCTGATGGAAATTGACCCATTGTCATGTCCCAGATCCTTCTGCTTTACTTGTATGATGTCATTTAATGAGGCTCAGAGTGGAAGTCGGTTGCCCGCGATCACGCTTAAAATGAGGAACAGATAGGGGCGCCTGGGTGGCTTAGTCGGTTAAGCGACCGACTTTCGCTTAGGTCATGATCTCGCGGTTTGTGGGCTCGAGCCCCGCGTCGGGCTCTGTGCTGACTGCCAGCTCAGAGCCTGGGGCCTATTTCAGTCTGTGTCTCCCTCTCTCTCTGACCCTCCCCTGCTCACGCTGTCTCTCTCCTAGAAATAAATAAAAACATTTAAAAAAAAAATGAGGAACAGATCTAGTGTTTGAGCCCAGGCATTGAGCTCACTTGCCTTCAGACAGTCCTGAACCATCCCTGTCTGTCTGAGTCCCTCTGTGGCTACGTTTTGCTGGGTCCCCATGTCTGTGTCTGCTTCTGCCTCCCTCTTTCTCTTCCTGTGCAGAACTGCTGGCCAGACCCACCATTGCAGTCAGCCAGGGCACTGCCACAGAGCAGAGGGAGAATGTGACCTTCTCCTGCAACACCCAGGATGCCAACGTTACCATCCACTGGGTCTTCAACGATCTCCCCCTGGTGCCCCACGAGCGCTTGCAGCTGTCCACAGATGGCAGGACCCTCACCATCCTCACCGTGCAGCGGGAAGACTCTGGGGCTTACAGATGTGAAGCCCGGGCTTTCCACCAGGTCCAGAGCAGTGACCCCACCTTCCTGACTGTGAACTGTGAGTCCCTTTTCGTTGTCCCAGCCCCTCACCGACACCCCCTTCCTTGGTGTTCCCATTCGGGCTCGCCGCTTCAGATGCCACCCAGATGTGGACTTGTCTACCCTTGGACCCAGACATAGAACCGTTGATGTCTGTTCTTGGTTCTACTGGAAACATCCAAGTTAGGATATCTAAAACCAAGTTCCTTAACCTTCAGACGTTTGCTACAAAATCTTGTCTGGGGACGGGCAAGGAAAGAGCATCTGCTGGCATACTCTGGACGTGTCTTACCCTCCCGCTTTGCCCAGGGATAGGCTGACACTTAATTTCCATTAGGCTCCTGGATCTCCTTTGTAATTGATCCAGAGTGTGGGTGGGGAGAAGAGGAATATTAATACTTACTGACCCCTGGGGTCTCTCTCTCTCAGAAAGCCATTGCTGGTGCCATTGTTGCTGCTATGATTGTTCTTGTCCTTCCAGATGGTCCTGACCCCATTGGAATCAAGTTGGAGTCTGGTGTATCCAGAGGGGAGGGGGTTGAGGTGATAGAGGGCTCCACTGTGACTTTCTCCGCAGAAACACAGTCTCACCCGACCCCTGCCTACACCTGGGTTCTCCCCTATGACTCCATCCCACCTCCCACCACGAGAACATTCACCATCCAGGCTGTTTCCAGGGAACACGAAGGCATGTACAGGTGCTTGGTGTCCAACAGGGCCACCCACCTGCTTCGCTTGGGTGCCCTTAAGGTCCGAGTCCTCGGTGAGTCTCTCTTTCCTGTTCCTCTCCTTTGTTCCTCTGAGAATCAGGGTGACACCAGTATCCCAGACACTGAGGAGGACCCGGAGGAGTGGGGATTTCCTGTGTGGCTGGTGGTAGATAGGGCTCTGACCACAGGGAAGGGCCTGCCTCCTGGCTTGACGCGTCATCCACGTGACCTTCTCGGCCATCACTTGATTCTCTGAAGTTGGGGCGGGGAGTGTAGATCCTCTATCCACGCAAACACATAATATTCACACATCTCACACAGAGTCTCACATACACAAATAATAATCACATGTGCACAGCACGCATATGTGCACAACACACACAATTTACACACAACACGACCAACACATAGCACACACACACGTACGACATGCACACAGCAGCTACGTATAACACACACAGTACAGAACACGTCACAGCCCTACCTCACACACTCACTGTACACACAGACCGACAGCACATGCGTGTGATACATTCGAACACATGCACAGCACATATACTACGCACGGGGTATACTCATGCTTAAAACACAGACACACGTATCTCACGTGCCACACATACATGACAAACAGAGCCAGGGACACACAACGCACTCTCATGTAAAACATGTATACACACTGCATATGACATGCACACGGCACACCTGTCACAGACACTCGAAATCCTCGCATGCAGCACAGGAAATACATTGTCTACATTCAGTGCCCTCCGCACATGCACACTGATGCACAATATACACACTCTGTATATATATACAGCACACACGGCAGTCATGCTCAAAGCATATAAACACTGCACAGCACATACAATACCACACACAGCATACATTCACAAGCAGAAGACATACACACAAATACACATGACACACACGTGCAGCAGACATGGACTTACACACAAAACATGTACATGGACCACGGACCCACTGAACATACAAAGCCCATAACATACTCACATGATGGTCACATGGCACACACTCATACCACCCATATAACACAGTCATAGGCAGAGTACACATGCACACACACACCACCCAAAACACGCACACACGTATCCCTGGAAAGCCCCCTAAGGGCCCCCTGCCTGCGCAGGAGACTGGGGAAGGGGTAGCTGACCCTCACCCCGTGTCTCTGTGTGTTTCCAGAAATGCTGACCAAGCCTCGCATTGTGTCCCCAAGCCTGAATCTCGTGGAAAATGGCAGCTCCGTGGCCCTGACCTGCCAGACCTCCCATGAGGGGGCCGGAGTCCTGTGGTTCCTGAGGGGCCGGGCCCTCCTGCCCAGCGAGCACCTGGTGCTGTCAGCTGACAACAGGAGACTGACCATCCGCAGGCTCCAGCGAGATGACACAGGACCCTATGAGTGCGAGGTCTGGAACCGGGCCAGCCGGGCACGAAGCGAGCCCCTCAGCTTCACCATCAGCTGTGAGTCACCTAAGCGGGTCCGGGTCCTCCTCCCTGCTCCTTCCCTCCCCCTCCTTCCCTCCCCCTCCTTCCCTCCCCCTCCTTCCCTCCCTCCATGTCGGTTTCCCTTCCAGCCATTTATTCCACAAGTACTGAGTGCCTGCTCTGTGCCAGCCATGTCTGGGCACCAGACAAGACACAGCACCTGCCCTTGAGGGGCTTACATTCCAGTGGGGAGACAGCACTTAAACAGCTAAGCAAGGGACAGACATGGTGTGCCGCGTGGGGAACGTCAGGAGAGCCAGGAGGGATGGGGAAGGCTGGGAGGGACAGGCGTTGGTCTTAGCTGGGGTAGTCAAGGGAGGCTTCCCTGAGGAGGTGGTGTTCCTGCCGGCAGCTAAGGGAAGAGCGCACCAGGCGGAGGGAGCAGCATGTGAGGTAGGTGGTGAGAAGCGGGCAGAGGAACCCAAACAGGCCAGGATGAAATGGAAGAGGTCAAGGGGTAATAGGACTGGGGACAGATCGCGCAGGGCCCCGTGAACCATGGCGAGGACGCTGGGAGCCATAGAAGGCTCCGAGTGGAGGGAGGGAGGATTCGACTTAGGTTTTCACAGGGTATCCGGGGCCCTTTTCTATGGGGGGGTGGAGTGGGGGAGGAGGAGGTTTAGAAAGTTGGGGTCCTTGGAGAGGCAGACCCCACGGTAGGATTAAAGGAGTGACATATGTGAGGATTTGAGTGGGAGGAGAGCCCTGAGCAGAAAAGTAGGGAGGGGGGTGTGGAAGCCTGGAGGAGCCAGTGAGTGAGGTGTTTGTCTGACCCTGAGCAAGCCGAGGAGGGAAGGGCAGGGCTGGGGTCCAGAGGGTTGGGCAGAAGTGCAGAGACCCCTGTGCAGCCTAAGGAACATTGTCAAGGCTGTCGGGGAGCGTCCTGCGTCTCCCAGGAAGGAGTCTGCCTCGGTTTCCCCAACACACTCAGGTATGGGCAGGGTGCCACCCGTGGGGAGGCCCAGCAGTGGATTTCAGGGGACAAGAGGCTGGGCCCTTGGTTACAGAACCCCCTGCCGTCGGAAGTCTGTGAGGCGTCTTCTCCCGGTGGCCGCAGATGTGGAGCTGGGTGGGGGCAGCTGTGGGGGACAGAAGCGCTGGGGCCACGATGCCTTCTGAACATCCAGGATTTGCCACTGTCAACACGAGATGAAAGACAAAGGGACCGACCCCAAGCTACTCGAATGGTGTAGCTGCCCCGAGCTGAGGCAGAGGAGAGGTTGCTGCAGGGACAGAAAGTGGGGTCTGCGTTTATCTGTGTTAAGTAATGGGGGAAACGGAGGCAGGAGTCACGTACGGTGATGCTGTCTTCTTCCCGTCCCACTGCTGTCGTGAAAACCCAGATTGCTCTTTCGTTCCCCTTCTCAACCGAGCAACATGTTGGCCGCTTGATAAGTAATATCCATGACTTTTCGAGTTGGCAGCCTACTTGGGCTGGGGAGGTTGGTCATCAGGCAGAGAAAACACAGTGTGAGAAGTGGGATGACAGTGTTTGGGGAACCCAAGGGAAGCCCCCAAAGTCTGTGTGTGTGTGTGTGGGGGAAGTCTCACTGTGAGATATGGTGTCTTCCATGAGATCCAAAGGACGAGTCAATTATCTAGGAAGAGCAGACTCAGGGAAGAACATTCCAGAGAAGGAAGAGAATGTGTGAAGGCTCTGAGGCAAGAGGGGACATGACAGAGATGGAATACCCAAGCAGGATATTATTTCTGGATTTGGGAGTGGAAGATGTGCAGAGGTGAGGGGTGCAGCTGGAGGGGTCTGCAAGGGCGAGATTGTGAATGAGCTCCACAGCCGTGGCCTTTGTCCTAAGGGCACTGGGGAGCCATGGAGAGTTCTGAGCAAGAGAGGGATAGTGTCAAGTTTGTGCTTAGGAAGTCCCCGCTGGTTGCTGTGAGGAGGATCTGATGCCAGGATCGGATGACCGTGAGGGATCCTGATAGCCATGGGGTTCAGATGGGGAGGATGTTAAAGGGTACCCAGGAGGGGTGAGGGCAGGATGTTCCTCTTTTCTAGGGGTGTAACATCTCAAAACTCTGCGTCCTTCCTTCCAGTAGTTCACATTAATTTATTTTTAAAAACATTTTCAAATGTTTTTTTACTTTTGAAAAAGAGAGAGAGACAGAGTGTGAGGGAGGGAGGGACACAGAGAGAGGGTGAAACAGAATCCCAAGCAGGCTCCAGGCTCTGGGCTTGAACCCCCGAACCGTGAGATCATGACCTGAGCCGAAGTCAGACATGCAACTGACTAAGCCACCTGGTGTGCCTCTATGTACTCATTTTTGAGAGAGAGAACGCTCATGAATGAGGAAGGGGCAGAGGGAGAAGGAGACACAGAATCCAAAGCAGGCTCCAGGCTCTGAGCTGTCAGCACAGAGCCTGATGCGGGACTTGAACTCACAAACCCTAAGATCACAACCTGCAGGGAAGTCGGACGCTTATCACATTAATTTAAATAAGACAAAGACTCAGCTCTTAATCTGCACAAGAAATTCAACAGCCATTTAGTTTGTGTCCTTCCCATCCTTGGGAGGAGAGCCAAGGGCCAAAGCTCTCCTTCAGGCTTCACAAGGAAAATCCACAAGTATCTCTACCTCTGAGAATACACAGGTGTAAATTTAAATATTGCACCAGGGCTATTTCCTGTCCGGTTAGAAAGCCCATCAGAATGGTAACGTTTCCAGAAGTGCAGGGCTCATGTTCACAGGACGCAACAACAGCTTGGGAAGCCGGGATGTGATGTGTTATGAGGCTCCTTGGTGAGAGTTCGTTTTGGCAAGGATGGGGGTTTTTGTTTTTTTAATTTGATACAGTTTTGCTTTGGGTTCCTCCCCTCTATGTTGTGGACTATAGTCTGCCCTCTTGAGAGCCACGGAGAAAAAGGGAACATCTTGTGAAGACCCCTTCCAAGGGCGGCTAGAAAAGCCTTTATTCTCCAGGCCACAGCCTGCAATGTTCTTAGAATCAAGAAGGCGATGGGGAAAAAAGGGTAAAACTTTGAATGCGGAAGCAGGACGGGGCGGAACAGGAAAGTCACCAGTGGAAGGTGGGCGCGTGACGTGTGGCCTTGCTCACAGATGGCCCTGATCGCGTGGACATCACCAGAGGGTCTGCGTCTGGGGCGGTCAGCACCGTCAAGGCAGAGCTCAACTCCAGCCTGACCCTGCAGTGTCAGGCGGAGTCCCAGCCGGGCGCCGAGTTTCACTGGACCCTTGAACGCTCCACCACTGTGTACGCGGGGCAGCAGCTGATCATCGGGCCCCTGACCTGGGGGCATCAGGGAATCTATAACTGCACGGCCTCCAACCCCCTGACCCACCTGGCCCGCTCTGCCTCGGTCATGGTCCGAGTGGTAGGTGAGTCCTTCAGTGCCCCTTCCCCTGGGGTCCAAGTAGCTTTTCCTGAAGCCAGCCTTAGCTACCTAGGCTTCTCGTGTGACAGTGAGTGGGACACGGACAGGCTCCCAGCATGGAGGCACTAGAACCTCTACTTCGTAGCTGTGCGCCCCCCAGAAAACCCTCCAGGCTGCTCTGAGCCTCACTTTCCTTACCTGTAAATGGGGCTTGTGATGCCTTACCTTCCAGAGTTGTTTAGCAATACAGTGAGTCCGGAAATAGCCCCTGGGCAAAGGAGTGAGCTGGTAGGAATTTTATTAATCACAGGAATTACATTAATCACAACTAGGGGTGACCGGCAGTGAGTCCCCGTATTTCTGTCCTGAGTTCTCCAGAGGACAACACAGGGTTGCTCTTAGCCAGGGTTCTGATCCCAGCTCCAAAGCTTAATAACTGTGTGACCCTGAGCATGCTGCTTAACATCTCTGGTCCTCTGATTCCTTGTAGGTGAAACACACATAATAACTGTGCTTATATCATAGGGTCATTGAAAATGAATTGACGTTAGTAACATTTTTATGGCAGTACCTGGTGTACTGTGTTTGTTAAACAAGTAGAAATATTCTTTATGGAGCCTGTTCCACATGCTTGAAACAAGCCTTTCCATCTAGTATATCAGTAAACACTTATTGGGTGCTCCCATCCCAGCCGGCTCTGAGGGGGGTCTGCTGGCATCTCTGGTGGGTAGGAGAGACTGAGCCCTGTCCTAGGGTTTGAAGCCAGGCTGGCTGCCTGAGGAGTGAGGTTCTTAGTTGCCACTGAGCAGAGAACCTTATGCATCCTCCCAAACTACCTTACATAATGTTCAGAACAACCCTTGGTCTTGTTAAGACTTTAAAAAAATTCTTTTAATACTTATTTTTGAGAGAGAGACAGAGCGTGAGCAGGGGAGGGGCAGAGAGAGAGGGAGACACAGAATCTGAAGCAGACTCCAGGCTCTGAGCTGTCAGCCCAGAGCCCAACCTGGGGCTTGAACTCATGAACCTCGAGATCATGACCTGAGCCAAAGTCGGATGCTTAACCGACTGAGCCACCCAGATGCCCCTAAGAACTTTTGATGAATGGAGAAACTAAGGCTCAAAGGAGGAAGCTGTGAGTATGGTTGATGGTCATGGGGATGTTGTAGGATTTGAATGAGATCATGTAGGAAGGGCTCTCAGAGCTTGATGGATGTCATCATCATCATCATTGCCTTTCATCAAGTGCTTACTCTGTGTCAGGCATGGTACTGGTCTTTCTAAGTGGGATCTCACTTAATCCCCGCAGAAGCCTATAGGGTTATTAATAGCTCTGCTCATTGGACACAGGAAGAAATCAAAGCTCAGAGACTGAAACTAAGAACCCCCAGTGCCTCCTGGAAGCCCCCCTCCTTTGCCTCCAAAGTAGAGCCCCTTCCTTACACCTGCTCCTCATGGCTGCCCTCTTTTTTTTTTGTTTGTTTGTTTGTTTTTTTAATGTTTTATTTATTTCTAGGAGAGAGAGAGACAGCGAGAGCAGGGGAGGGTCAGAGAGAGAGGGAGTCACAGACTGAAACAGGCTCCAGGCTCTGAGCTGGCAGCCAGCACAGAGCCCGACGCGGGACTCGAACCCACGAACAGTGAGATCATGACCTAAGCGAAAGTCGAAAGTCAGATGCTTAACCGACTAAGCCACCCAGGCGCCCCTCATGGCTGCCCTCTTAATCCCTGTGGCAGGACTTCTCCTTTGAGAAGGGTCCTGGGCAGAAGCTGGATGGGCAGCCACAGGCCCACATTAGTGATTATAGCTGCCATTAGTCACCTGTGGTATGCCCGGCATGAACGTGCCATCGTCACTGTGTGGAGGGTACCATTTCCCTCACTTTGCATTTGAGGGAGTGAAACACAGAAGGGGATGCCACTTGTCTGTGGTCACAGGGCCCCACTTTCAGGTATGAGAATGAGGGAGTGACATGGGGGAGAACCAGGTTTCTGGTTTTCAAAGCCCTGTCCTCTGAAATCCATATCTGATCCATTATCCCAAGCAATATTGTCATCACACCAACATTTACTGATTGCTTTCCGTGGGCCTAAATATTGTTGTCTTCTCCTTTTTTTAATGTTTGCTTATTTTTGAGACAAAGACAGAATGAGAGTGAGGGATGGTGGGAAAAAAAGAAAGGGAGGCACAGAATCCGAAGCAGGATCCAGGCTCTGAGCTGTCAGCACAGACACAGAGCTCGAACTCCCGAATGGTGAGATCAAAACTGAGCCGAAGTTGGACACTTAACCAACTGAGCCACCCTGTTACTGTCTTCTGAACATATTGAACATTCCATATTTAAATTTTTTTTTAATTTTTCTTTTTGAGAGAGAGAGAGAGCAAGCAGGGGAGAGGCAGAGAGAGAGAGAGAGAGAGACAGAATCCAAAGCAGGCTCCAGGCTCCAAGCTGTCAGCACAGAGCCCGATGTGAGGCCTGAACCCACAGACCGTGAGATCATGACCTGAGCCGAAGTTGGATGCCCAACCGACTGAGCCACCCAGGCATCCCAGACATTCCGTATTTTGAACACGAGTACACTTATGTTGAATCTTTTCAGCAACCACTAATACTATCATCCTTGCTGTACAGAGGAGACAGCGGAAGCACAGAGAGGTTAAGTAGCATGATCAAGGTCACATAGCTGAAGTGTGAATAGGCCCTTTGACTCCAAAATGATGCTGTTAACACCACAGAGCATTGCCTCCCAGTGACTGGAAAACAAATCCATCAAGTGACAATGGCAGTAAAGCCACCGGTTGGGAATGGGGCTGGGAGCTGGCATGAAGGCGTGTCAGAGCAGTGTCCTGACTCTTTCTCCTTGCCCAGGTCCCCAGTCATCCCTGTCTGCAGGAGCCATTGCTGGCATTGCCATCGGTATCCTGGCTGTCGTTGCCCTGTCCACAGGGCTGGGCTGTTTCCTCTACATCAGAAATGCCAGACGGTATAGCTGGGAATTGGGTAGGGGGTGTGGCCTGCAGGGGGCGTGCGCGGCAGAAGTGTTGCTGACCGTGGTGCTGAGCTGTGTCAGTAGCAACTAGGGAACTCGGGGGGTTTGGGACATTACCCAAGAATGGACCTGGGATATGGGTAGGGCCTGTGACGATGGCAAGGACTGCAGGCACACAAGAATGAAGGATTTGGGGTTTCAGGTTCTCAAGGGAAAAAGCAGAGGACCCCCGCCAGGAGGCAGCAACAGTCACCTCTGAGGAGGAGCCCCATACAGAGGCCTCTTCCGGTAAGTGACTGTATAGCTGATGCCCAGGGCAGCAGTGGGGGCTGGGAAAGAAGCTAGTATTGGGAGCCTGGGCCTCTGCTCCCAGCTTTGCCACTAACATGGTGATCATGGATGACATTTGAGCCAAGAACTCGGAGGAGTTCTGTCTGTTCCAACAGCCACAGCAAAAATGGGGCATCAGTTGCCACTGTCTCCTTCCTCATTCTCAGAAGACTTTGCTGATTGATTGCTGTAGGCAGGAGACTCAATCCCAGCACTCACCCTTGCTGAACCCAGAGTCAGCCTAGTAACCCACCTCACCACAGTGCTTCACACACCCTTGGACGGGAGCTGACCAAAGGCAAAATGAAACATCTTTGATATCTCTGGCCTAGGATTCTGGAAGGATGGACCCCTCCTGAAATGGAAATCCTAGAGACTGTCTAATCCAGCTCAGTTTTACAGGAAGGAGATCCATGTTCAGGAAGGGTAAAGGATAAACCCACGCTACAGAGGACCCACTGGCATAATTAGGGCTAGGTCTTAGATTTCTGTCCTTATCCATCTCATCAAACAGTCTAATCTAATCCAGAGCCAGATTTCCAGGATATTTCCAGGTCAAGCCCACCATAGATGTGATTGATAGTCCTGGGAAGAAAGGAAGGAAGGTTTCTTGTACCACTTTTCTGGGGAGGGGGAGTGACCTGGAGAAACGGCTCCTTCCTTCGCATCTCTTCCTAATTCCAGCCCTGGGCTGGCTTTCCCTTTCTCTAGATTGGCTGAGCCCCATGTATGCAAATTTACCCAAACCTCAAGGACAGGTTGGAGTCAAAAAGGTGAGCAATGCTCCACAGGTCCCCTCCCTGCTCCCCTGACTACCTGGCTCGTCTCCAGCCCAGCAGGGCTGTTTGAGTCCCACCTCTTGGGTTGGGGAGTGAGGCATGTTCTCTTGAGGATATCCAGTGCATGCTTGACTCTTTGCATCTCCTCCCCTGCCTTCTCTGGGGAGCCCAAGATCCTCCCTGACTTTCCATCTCTTCTCCTTTGTCTTCTTCCTCTTCAATGTGACAGTGCCTAGCTTTGAGCTCCTCTGGGAATTGGGAAGGATGTAAATGCCTCTGAGGCCAAAGCTGTTTCTGAGAATTTCTGGGGGTGGTCCCCCGCCCAAGCCCTATGACCTCTTCACCACTTTCTTTTCCCCCAGATGCTGCCACCAGACCCCCTAGAGCAATTTTATGAGGTATGTTGGCCCTGCTGGGCTTGATATTAAAAATCTGAGAATTTTGTATTTGACAAGTCTGAGAAACCATCCTTTTTTTTTTTTAACATTTTATTTCTGAGAGAGAGACAGTGTGAGCAGGGGAGGGTCAGAGAGAGAGGGAGGCACAGAATCCAAACCAACCTCCAGGCTCTGAGCCGTCAGCACAGAGCCCGACGCGGGGCTCGAACCCACCAATTGTGAGATCGTGACCTGAGCTAAAGCCAGACGCTTAACCAACTGAGCCACCCAGGCGCCCTGAAACCATCCTGTATAAATAGTAGTTGTGCATTGCAGGCTCAGGGATGGGGAGAAAGTGGCCCAAGGCTTCAGAAGCAGCTGGGTCAGATTCTAGGTCTCTGGCCCCTACTGTATTCCTGTCACCTCCAGGGCTCTGAATTATATTGCAAATGAAGTGGCACTAGCCTAGCACATGCTATGGTGCCAAAAATTTTTTGGAACAGACATTGCAGCAGTAGCCAGGTGAAAAGACAGAGTTCTAGATCAGGGGCACGGCCTTGCATCCTAAACTGGTGAAACCTATTCCTCTCTTGGGTCACTGAATCGTGCAAGTTGACACTTTCCAGACACTGTGATTTTAAGGCAGTCTGTACCCATGGTCCCTAACTGATCTCTCCACTCACTCACAGAAGGAGCCACCATCAGCAACTCTTGGAAACTATTCTCCTGGTCCCAGAAAACCATCACCCAAAGTTGCATTGGATCCATCAGTCCCCACTCCACCGAAAGGAAACACAGAATCAAACTATGAGGTACTTTTATGCCACCCTGAATCTGGTGACAGTCAAGAGCTGTCACCAATCTGCCGCTTCCTCCTTGCTGAAAAGTCTGTAGGATAAACTACCATGAGAATTTTCCTAGTTATTTTTTCAGTTCCATTCCACCCATTTCCATCCTATCATGTCCTGGTTCACTTCATTTTCTTCTTTTCTGGTCTACTTGATCTTACTCCATTCCATGTTTCCATCACATTTGTTTTCACACCACCTGTCAGAAGTTGTAGGAGGGGCAGGAATGCATTCCCCAAATTGAGAAGGCACTCTGAGACCAGAAAACAAAGCAGGTGACTCCACACAGTTTACACAGATCTTCACTCAGAGTAACTTAGCGACAGGGGGGATGGGTAGACGGTAATCCAGGCAGCTGCACATCAATTCTCCAAAAAGTCCTGATCTTTGTCCACACATTTTATAGAGTGAAGTCAAAGGGTCTAATGCTTAACACACCTGTTGCTGCCACCTGCACACCTGTGTGCCGGAAGGTGCGGGGTCGGGGGAGAAACTGTGTTGTCTCTATGACTTATCTAAACAGCCATTCGCTTGGGGGATACACTAACTTCCAAGGGGCATGCAACACGTAGCCTCCAGGGAGGTCATCTTGCAGATGTGAACAGGGTGGAGTCCGCACTGTGGATACTCCCACACCACCTGTTTCCTGTCTGTCTATTTAACTTTACTCCATTTCTTTCTTTCTTTATACTAACCATTTGCTTGCTATGCTATTTACTTGCCATTCCACTCCATTCCTCTCTATTTCTTTTCTTTTTAAAAAAGTTATTTATTGAAAGAGAGCACAGAGTCCAATGCGGGGCTCAATCTCATGAACTGTGAGATCATGACCTGAGCTGGAAATCAAGAGTCGGACCCTTAACTGACTGAGCCACCCTGGCGCCCCTTGATTCTTTCCATAAAAGTCCTTGTATTCCCTTATTCATTCATTTCCATTCCTTTTCCTCTCTTCCCACCCACTGAACTCCATCGCGCGCCATTGATTCCATCCCATTCTAGTGTTTGAGCCCATTGTACTCCTTTCCATCTCTTCCTTATTTCCCTTCCATTCTTTCCCACTACTTTCACTTATGTTTTGTTCATTTTTTCCTTCTGATTCCACTTGATTCATCTCTTCCACATTCTGCTACCTTCTATTCCTGTACACTCTGCTTCCGTCCCATCCCTTGGTCTCATGTCCATTCTTTTCCTTCTTGTCCCGTGTCATACCCATTCTTCCCCATTCATACATTAAATCCGTTCTATACATTCTGGCTTCTATCATCCCATTCCATCCTGCTCATTATCACTATGTATACTCAGCCCTGATTTTTTATGACTTTAAACATTTTAATTAATTAATTAAATACACTGTATACAGTGTGCTCTTGGCTTTAGGAGTAGATTCCTATGATTCATCACTTACATATACAACACACAGAATCAGAAGCAGTCTCCAGGCTCTGAGCTGTCAGCACAGAGCACCACATGGGGTTCAAACTCATGAACTGCAAGATCATGACCTGAGCCAAAGTTGGACGCTTAGCTGACTGAGCCACCCAGATGCCCCAGATTTTGGATACTAATCCTTGCCTGGCTTTCAGTTCATTCCACTGCATTCCCTTTCTTCTCCTACACACTACTTTCCCACTCACTTCCTTTTCTTTCTGCTTCTTTCCTTCTCCCTTCATTTCCCACCCATGCCTCCCTCTTCCATTCAGTTCATTTCACTGTTTCCCATTCCCCTTCACTCTGTCCCCTTTTCTCTCTTCTCCATTCCTCCATATTGGATCCCATTCTGGTTTGTTGTTGTTGTTGGTTGGTTTGTTTTTTATTCCTACCCACTCCTGTCATTCTCTTCCATGGGACTCCCTTCCTGCTGCCTGTGTTACTTTCCCACCCATTTGACTCTGTGCTTTCAACTCCTCTCCCTCCATTCCTTCCCATTTCCTTACCTTCCATGCCATTGCATGAGTTCCATTTAACTCCATTTCCTCAGTCTAGTTCCGCAGCATTCCAGTTTCGTTCCTGCATTGCCCTTCTTGAACTCCCAGTTACCCTTTGTCATACTGCTTTTTTGTCACTTGTTCTCTATTCCTTTCCTTTCCTTGAATGCTTTTCCTTCCCACTTTTGTCCGTTCAGTTCTAATCCTGCGCTCTGTGTCATCAGTCTCCTTCCCATGCCAGTTTATTTTATTCTCTTCTTTTCCGCTTCATTTCTTTCCATTATGATCTTTCTATTTATTCGACTTCTTCATTTACATTTTTTGGGTGCTATGCTGTTTGTTCCACTCCATTCCCTGATTTCAGTTTCCATTCCATTCTACCATTCTGTTCCACCCCATTCTGTTCCATTCCACCCCATTCTGTTCCACCCCATCCCATTCCACACCATCCTTTTCCATTTCTAGTCCATTCCATTTAATTTCATTCTACCCACCCCATTCCATTCCATTCTATCTCATTCCACCCTATTCTTTTCCACCCCACCCATTCTATTCCATCCTGTCCCATCCCATCTCATGCCATTCCTTTCCACTCCATTGCATTTCTCTTCATTCCTCTCCCATACCTTTCAGTACATTGATAACCATCTATCTCCTTTGTTTTCTTTTCTTTCCAATCTTTTATTTTTTGTTCATGATATTCACCTCTCTATATTTCTCCCATGGGAGATTTGAGACAATTTACAGCAAGCTTATATACCACACTATAAAATGGTGATAACTTAGAAATATGAATCACAATTAAGAAAAGACTTATAATAGTAGGCAAGAAGTCAAGGTATGGATAAGAAGGTAAATATGCTGAACCTATGTAGCACCTGTTCCTATATTTCCCATTTGTCTTTGAGCTTCCTGATACCCCCCCTCAAAAAAACCATAATCAGTTTTATCACCCAAAAGGAAGAAAACTATTAACTCATCCAGACAGATGGGAAGCAGACCTTCCCACTGGAAGTTCCAATAACTCAGGTGATAGCTTCCTGGTTCTAAGGACTAGTGAGATTATTTCAGAGTTTTCAAGCAATGACATCCATGTTCAGGGCTAGCCAGGCTGCTACCTGTCCAGGGATGGACTTCAGACAGTATCCTCTGAAGGAGTCAGTGACCCATCAGATTTGAGGAAGCACGGAGGGAGGCTAGAACAGATTTGGAAAAGAGAAACTTTAGGGACATAGAATTCCAATATTCTAGTCTTGTGCTAGAGGGACAAATGTATTCCTCATTATTCCAGAGGGCAGACCAGTTACTATGGAGGGTAGATTGGAGGGTGGCAGGCTTTAGTCTAATTTACAGATGAATCATGTGATTGTCTTCTATATCATAATCAGGGATTTTAAACATCTTTTATTAAAGTAGGTTCCACACCCAGTGTGGGGCTTGAACTCACTCACAACCCTGAGATCAAGGGTCACATTCCTCTACCGACTGGACCAGCCAGGTGGCCCCATATTCAGGGCTTTTAATAAGAAAGATGAACCCCCTGAAAGTGAATGAGAGAACACTGGGGAGTCTCAGATAACCCGATTTCAGAACTTGCTTGTGGGCCTATGAGGACTAGAGTGTTTTCAGGAAACTTTTCTCTTATGTGGTTGCTCATATTTGCTGAGCAATGAATTCATTCCATTTTCCTCAGTCCAGATCGAGTTCCTATGCAAGCCTCCCGGTCACCATGCCTCTTATAACTTCAGCTTACATATAACAACATCCTCTATTACTGTTTAAGAGTTTCTAGGTTCAGATTCTACAGAGGAGATTCAGACTGGCTCAGGCCATTTTATGGATTGTTATTTTGGTTTGTGAGCTGTCTAGTCAGGTATGAACTGGTACACTTAGATTTTTAGGTCCCTCTTGTCCAGGGAAGGAAAGTCACATTTGTTTCTTTTTATCAGTAGAGCAAAAGCTCTTTTTAGAAGTGTCAGCCAGTGAAATTATTTTTCTATCTCCTTGGCCAGAATTCTGCCACATGGTATTCCTTGTGGCAAGGAAGGCTGAGAGAATGAGGTGTTACACTTCCCAGTCTTATCAATAGAAGCAGGCAAGGGATAAAATATGAGTAAGACTGTCAGGTCAGTCAACTCAAGGTCTGCTGTATTCTGGAGGGATGAGAAGGAGCCAGCCATTGAAAGGATCTAGAGTTGAGTGTATTAGTAATCTGTTGTGCATGACAAATTACAACACATTTAGCAGCTTAAAACAGCATACAGTATTATCTCAAAGTTTGTGTCTAAGCACTGCTTAGATGGGCCTTCTGCAATGCAGAAGGTGTTGGCCAAGGCTCAGGTCTCATCTGAGGCTTGACTGGGGAAAGATCCACTTCCAAGCTCAGCCTTCAGTTCCTCGCAGGCTGTCAAAACAACGACCACGGTTTCTTACTGGCTGTCAGCTGGAGGCTGCCCTAAGTCCTTTGCCATGTGGCCCTCTCCATAGGCAGCTCACAAGATTGCATCTTGCTTTTTCAAAGCCAAGACAGAAGTAGCAATCTTATATAACAGAATCACATACGTGCAATCATGCACATCCTGTCATTTTGCCATATTCTTTTGGTTAGGTGAAAGTCACAGGTCTTGCCCTCAAGGGAAGGGGATAATAAGGGCATGACTTCTAGAAGGTGGGGATGATGGGTGCCATTTTAGAGTCTCTCCTCCAATGTAGGGAGCTATAGAGGCCATTGTAGAAACAGAGGTGCCACCATGATTGAAGTGGAGTAAAAGAGGAGGAAGATCTTTGGAATTTCGAAGGACAGAGGACAATGCGAGAGTATGTGGGCCTTTACTAAATATAGCAAGTAGGACAGAAAGGCCTACACAGAAAATGGAACTCATCTTTTCTCTCTGTGCAATAGGTGCTTGTGAATCCAGAACGCAACATTTACAGCCACATCAACCCCTCAGTCTAAAGGAAGCAGATTTCCTTCCTCCAGAAACCCTGGAGAAGTCACACTCAATCACATATTCAATGACATTTATTGGATGCCTGTTATACTCCAGCCGCTATCTTCGTGGACCCTTGTGACATTCTGTTTTAATGTCTTGTTCCAGCACTAGGCCCTAGCTCCTGCCAAATCTTGGGTTTTTGACTCGTGTTTCTTTACAAGCAATAAAAACAGGGAGAAGGTGGCCCAGAATTAGAGGACCAAGGTTAGAGACTCAGAAGCTGGGGCTGCCATGGCTGCGTCACAGAGATGGGTGAACAGCAAGGGTGGAAACAGCAGCGGGGGAGGGTGTCTTTTCACATCATGGTAGAGGATAAGACACAAGAAGCTGTTAAGAGATGATGACAGGAAAAAACAGAATGAGGGGAGAGATTGAGGCTCCTGGGAGAGGGAGCAGGCATGAGGTGCTTAGAGTCCCAAGAATTTTGGGGGTGGGGGTGGGGAAAATCAGATTTGATGAAGACAGTTAGGAGTCAAGGATGACTCCCATGTTTCTGGCCAAAGCACCTGGGTCACTGGCAGGCCACCTTCGGAGGCAACAGTGAGGGACGATATACATTTGGGAGAAAGAAGGAAAAATCAAGAATTTCCTTTAGACATGTCAGAGATCAACTGGAGAATAAAACAGCCAACTGTTCATAAAAATCTAGATAAAACAGGGCTGGAGATACACACTTGGGAGTTGTTAGTGGGGGTTAAAGTTATGGGAATGTAGAAGGTCTTGTGTCAGGGGTCTCCAAGACCACCCTCAGGCTCAGTGATTTGCTAGAGGGATTCACAGGACCCAGCAATTGTTATACTCACGGTCATGGTTTATTGCAGCAAAAAGAGGATAAAATCAGCAGAGGGAGAAGAAAAGGTACAGGAGTAAAGTATGGAGGACACTGCAAGTGTCCTGTCCCAGGAGAGTCACATGGGGATTTCCCCAGCAGTGATGTGTGACCATACTTGTGAAGTGTTGCCAAGCGGTGGAGGGGGCAGGGCTGGCCTTGAACCTGAGCGTCCAGGGTTCTTATAGGGGGTCAGTCACACGGGCAGCTCCAGATCCCCAGAAGGAACACAGGTGTTCACTGCAGATCACCTTGTTTGTATAAACCGTCTGGACAGGCTGGTATATCGTGGCTCAAGGCCTCAGGCCTGCCTGCAAAAACCCTTTTATCAGGTAGAACATTACACGAATTCAGTTCCTAGAAGCCAACCGAGAGCTAGTCATGGAAACAGGCCTTTCCTGGGTTTGAACACCCCAGGAAGGTTGAGTTAACCCATTCCCCTACAGATTGTAAAGAAAGTGGATAAAGACAGAGAAGAGTATGGGCTGATACCTAAGCTCTGGGTCCTTCCAATGTCTATAGTTTGAGAAGAGGATTTTTTTTTTTACATTTATTTATTTTTGAGAGACAGTAAGACAGAATGTGAGCGGGGGAGGGGCAGAGAGAGGGAGACACAGAATCTGAAACAGGCTCCAGGCTCTAAGCTGTCAGCACAGAGCGCAACACAGGGCTCAAACCCACGAACCATGAGATCATGACCTGAGCCGAAGTTGGACGCTCAACCGACTGAGCCACTCAGGCGCCCCTTGAAGAGGATTGAGCAAAGGAAAAAGACTGTTTTTTCTTCCCCCTGCTGCCAAGAACCCCCCATCCCCACATCTCCCCACCCCCAGGATCCCAGGGACTGGTTAGATTGCCCCTCTAGAGACTCATAGCTTTATCTCCCAGCATTTAGGGCAAATGACTTCTTTGTTCCTCAGTAGATCCTAAGCCCTCACCCAGTTCCTGGCCGACAGAACCTCAGTGTGAAACTCGGGTCTCAGCCAATCCCTAAGCAGTTGATAGAGAAACCTCTGCGTTTGAAGGGTATCTTTCTAGAACAAGTTCCTGTTCCCCAGTAGTAGCTGTTCTGAAGTCTCCATAACATTCGGGTTAGGTCAGGATTCAGGTGCTCCTGGAAGTAATACTTGCCATCTTCTTCATTTTGAAAGAAGAAGAAAAAAAGACCAAACAAAAGACAAAGCCAGTTTTAAATTATATACTGCTAATGCTTTAATGTCTGAATCTCAAGGTAAAAAAAAAATACTGGAAAAAAATACAGAAAAAAAGGAAGATGAGCTAAATGTCAAAGCATCCCATCATGATTTTGTCATATTTGTACTGAATCTGTACATCATTCTGCAAAATTTGACATCTTTTTAAAAAAAATTTGTTAATGTTTATTTTTGAGAGAGAGAGAGAGAGGAGAGGGAGGGAGACACAGAATTCGAAGCAGGCTCCAGGCTCTGAGCTGTCAGCACAGAGCCTGACAGGGGGCTTGAACTCGTGAACTGTGGGATCATGACCTGAGCCGAAGTCAGACGCTTAACCAACTGAGCCACCCAGACGCCCCTACAAGCAAGATTTGACATCTTTACAGCACAGCCAGGAGCATGGCAGTTCTATGTCTTTCATCTCTGTCATTAGGGTTTTAAAGATTTTTCTTATGCTTCCTATTTTTTGCTTCTATGATGAATAAACTTTTCTGTCTTGTTTGCAAACTTAGTATTTCTTATGTAGAGGGAAGATGTTGATATGTAGGTAAAGGGTAATATAATGTAAAAGAACATGAACTCTAGCGTTAGACTTCTTGGATTCAATATCAGCTCTGCCCTGACAATACAATCCAGGGTGAATTACTTAACATTCCTGGGCCTCAATTTCATCTTCTGTGAAATGGAAGTAACAGTCAAACATGGTATGAATAGCCATGAGGACTAAGTGAGAAACATATATAAGCACCTTATGGCAGTGCCTGGCACAGAATGGAACATAAGTGTTTACTACTATTTCACATTCGATGCCTTTCTAGCCTCTGCTTGATGTTAACTCCTTTTAGTTAATTCTCTTGGGTCTTGTGGTTTGTAATATCTGCTAATAATACTAACTTTGCATTCTCTGTACCCAATGGCTATGACTCATATCTATTTTGTACTGAAGTTTTGTTTTTAATACCAGTCCTGGTCTTTTGGACACATACTGAAACATAGATGAAACATGTAAGATTTGTTTCAAAACCACCATGGGCAGAGGAGAGTGGAAAGTAGAGGTGGGGCCATATGTGAGAAGAGATTTAGTGGAAAATTAACCAGCATGATTGGTCAATGGGGGTGTGTGTGCCATTTAGTTAGTCTCTCTATTTTTGTGTCTGAAATTTGTGCAATAAAAAGTTAAAGTGGGACGCCTGGGTGGCTCAGTCGATTAAGTGTCAGACTTTGGCTGGGGTCATGCTCTCAGTTTGTGAGTTCAAGCCCCACATCAGGCTTTCTGCTGTCAGCACAGAGCCCACTTCAGATCCTCTGACCCACCACCCCCTCTGCTCCTTCCCTGCTGGAGCTCTCTCTCTCAAATAAATAAACATTTTTAAAAAGTTAAATCAATAAGCTACCCACTTCCATTAAAAAACCCCCAACATATCTAACCCTCAAATATTAGAGGCATTCCTGTTACAAAGAACACAAACAAGAATGTCACTTCTACTGATATTGTTGTGAAAATGGTAGCCAACACAATCCGACATGCAAGGAAATATCTGGTTAAAAAATACTGGTAAGGAAGAGATGAAATAATTGTCTGTAGCTGATTGTCTCACCAGAAAAGCCAAGAGGGCCAAATGAAATACTGTAAGAATTCCTAACATTTCAGTTGGATAACCAGATCCAAATCCAATATAAGTATGTATAGTTTTTAAAATTTTTTTAAATTTTTAATGTTTGTTTATTTTGAGAGAGAGAGAGCACATGAGTGAGGAAAAGAGAGAGAATCCCAAGCGGGCTCCACGTGAGCCCACATGGGGCTCAATCTCATGAACCGTGAGATCATGACCTGAGTTGAAATCAAGAGTCAGGCCCTTAACAGAGCCACTCAGGTGCCCCAAAGTTTATTTAAGTAATTTGTCCCAATGTGGGGCTCAAACCTACAACCCCGAGATCAAGAGTCACATGCTCTTCCAACGGAGCCAGCCAGGTGCCCCCAACATAAGTATTAAAAAAAAATCCATCACAATAACCAATTATAAGAAATTTAAGGTGGGGGGGTAGAGATTACATTTCAAATAGCAATAATTTGTTGTTAAAGGTTAAAAGTTATGTGGGAGTGCCTGGGTGGCTCAGTCGGTTGAACATCTGACTTCGGCTCATGTCATAATCTGACTTGAGCCCCACGTCGGGCTCTGTGCTGAGAGCCAGCTCAGAGTCTGGAGCCTGTTTCAGATTCTGTGTCTCCTTCTCTCTCTGACCTTCTCCTGCTCACTGTCTATCTCTCTCTCTCTCTCAGAAATAAATAAAACATTAAAATTTTTTTAAAGTTATGTGAAGAAAACTACAGGAATACTTTGACAGCAAAAAAATAAAATAAAACCTTTCAAATGCCCTATTTTCATGCAGCAGGGTCCAAATGTCAGTTTCCTTCTTGATGGGTGGAAATAAACATCACTGTTTTCTCATAGGGTGACTGTGCCAGTTAATGAGATGTTAAGGCATTTAACAAAGGGCCAGGACCCTTTATTTATTCAAAATAAACCAAATATTTATTGAGCATCTATTATATGGCAGGTACCTTAGGATGCTGGGGTTACAGCACTAATCAAAGTTGGTACAAATCCTTTCCCTTATGGAATTGACAGTCTAGCGGTGAAAGTAGATAACCAACCAAATATGTACTATATAATCTACGTAATTTATATAATATATAGATTATATATATATTAGTGAAAATTCCCTAGATAAAAGTAACGATGAGAAGGGAGGCAGGGAGTACTGTGGGGAGTGAAGTGTTTTTAGGTTTACAATGGTTGGTGGAGGAATGCTTCGTGAAGAGGGGATATCTGCCTAAAGACCAGATGGCAAGGATCCAGTGGAACCTTAAAAGGAGGAGGCTGTCAGCCAGCATGAACAGCACACGCAAAGGTCCTGAGGTGGGAGCCTGCTAGCGCCGCTGGTG